TCTAAAATATTATTTTCCCGTGTTGGTTCCTTAATGTGTTGCGTAAGAAAGCAATCGTCAATTAATTCTAGAAAATCTTCTGCTTCACTATTCCCTGTTTTGTTCAACCAGTTTATTCCGCTAAAATTAAAGTCACCCATGACATAAATACTGTTAGATCTAGATGCTCTAGATATTTCATCCCATAGATGCTTTGCTTCCATTCTGTCTAAATTTGGTGGCCTGTATATTACTCCTATTATAATATTATTAGCTTTTTCGTTTAATTCAATCCAAATAGTTTCTGTGTGTGGCTCTGTTTTGATTCCCTCTTTGAGACTACATTTCAAATTGTCCCTAACATATATGGCTACTCCACCTCCTCGTCTAATATATCTATCTGTGTGAAATAGTTTAAATCCATATATTTGATATTCAGCTAATAGTTCTCTATTTTCTACATTCATCCACGTTTCGGTAAGTGCAATAATATCTATTTTTTCTGTGCAGACAAGAGCATTTAATTCGTTAATTTTATTTCTTAGACTTCTACTGTTAGTGTAATATACCCTAAGTGAATTGTTATTTTGCGGACCTTCTCTTTCCCTGATCGTTTTGCCAATTCCTTTCTCCCACAAACACATACTTTTATTACCTCCTTCCTCCAAATCAATTCCCATACCTCTATCTACTAACAGTTTAAACCCAAACAAACACCTCTAACCACTTCTTCTAGCGAGTTCGCAACAGCAACAACCCCAGCTCTCGATAGATGCACCCCATCACGAGCATACATTTCATTTCTTCCATAGAAGTGTTCCCAGTTGTCTATGAAAGATATTGCATTTGATTTGCAATATCTTTCCAGCCGGCAATTGACACCAAGTGCCCTCGATATCCATTCATTTCCCACTCCCTTTCTTGGAAGAATGCCACATATGATCGGGATTCAACCATAGACTCAATAGAACAAGAAAGCTATACAAAAAGCAGCCAAGTGACCGCAACAGGATCTTACTTTGTGAGGTCAAGGAACATGTACATCGAGAGACCAGACAAATAAAAGAACAAAAGTGGCTGGAATGGTGTTCACACCTGAATGAACACACCTCATTCGGAGAGATGTGGCAGCAAATTCACCGGGCCAAAGGGAATAAAACACCTAAAGCTCCACACCCCAAGGATCCTCAACAGGAAGCCGAAGTACTGGCAACCAGGTTTGCAGAGAGAGCAGCCAGCAATCAACTTCCACCAGATGTATTAGCAGTACAGACCGGACTAGAGGAAGAAAGAATCCTTACAGCATGTGAAGAAGTCTCTGACACTAAAAGAAATTGATTGATTGATAAAGATTAAGCCACCCAAAAGGTGGCACGGGCATGAATAGCCCGTAAGTGGTGGCCTTTTTGAGCCATTACCAGTATCAATAGATGATACTGGAGATCTGTGGAGGTGCGACTGCACCCTGCGTGACGGGAGATGCCTCCCGTGTAAAAGAAATTACAGAATTCGTTAATTTATACGAGTACAGGGTCAGGTGATAAAGGTAAAGACAAGGGGGGACGAAGCACATAAGAATAAAGGTAACTGCAGAAAGCTTATTGGCCCATATGAGGCAGCTCCTATCTACATACAAAGATTAATCAGATGTAATTGTAATTAAGGAAATGTGAACAAACCCATTATTTGTATTAGTGCATCATCAGGTAATGATGTTGGACGAGTTAGGAGTGAGGAACTAATACAGAGATTCAGGACAGCCATTGAATTAGTTAGGAGCAAGGGAGGAATCCCGATCATATGTGGCAATCTTCCAAGAAAGGGAGTGGGAAATGAATGGATGTCAAGGGCACTTGGTGTCAATTGCCGGCTGAAAAGATATTGCAAATCAAATGCAATATCTTTCATAGACAACTCGGAACACTTCTATGGAAGAAATGAAATGTATGCTCGTGATGGGGTGCATCTATCGAGAGCTGGGGTTGTTGCTGTTGCGAACTCGTTGAAAGAATTTGGGAATTGGTATGGGAAAAGTATGGGAATTGATTTGGAGGAAGGAGATAATAAAAGTATGTGTTTGTGGGAGAAAGGAATTGGCAAAATGATCAGGGAAAAAGAAGGGCCTCAAAATAACAATTCACTTAGGGTATATTACACTAACAGTAGAAGTCTAAGAAATAAAATTAACGAATTAAATGCTCTTGTCTGCACAGAAAAAATAGATATTATTGCACTTACCGAAACGTGGATGAATGTAGAAAATAGAGAACTATTAGCTGAATATCAAATAAATGGATTTAAACTATTTCACACAGATAGATATATTAGACGAGGAGGGGGAGTAGCCATATATGTTAGGGACAATTTGAAATGTAGTCTCAAAGAGGGAATCAAAACTGAGCCACACACAGAAACTATTTGGATAGAATTATACGAAAAAGCAAATAATATTATAATAGGAGTTATATATAGGCCACCAAATGGAAGCAAAGCATCTATGGGATGAAATATCTAGGGCATCTAGATCTAACAGTATTTACGTCATGGATGACTTTAATTTTAGTGGAATAAACTGGTTGAACAAAACAGGGAATAGTGAAGCAGAAGATTTTCTAGAATTAATTGACGATTGCTTTCTTACGCAACACATTAAGGAACCAACACGGGAAAATAATATTTTAGAATTAGTGTTAACTAACAGGGAAACACAAATTAATGACATCGAAATAGGGAGTGAGCTAGGGAACAGTGATCACAAAGAAATCAGATTTAGCATAGAATGGAATAGACCTGTAGGAGAAAATTCTGTTAAAGTGCCAGATTTTCGAAAAGCTGATTTTAATAGCCTAAGAAATTTTTTGGGTCAAATTGATTGGAAAGTCTTGGGTATGGGGTGGGGGCCGGTCTTGGAGCGAGACATGAACCCAGCGATAGGTGACGTAAATGTGGATTTAATATATAACTTATTTAAGAATATTCTAAACAAAGCACAGGAACGTAGTATACCATACAAATTGAATAGATCGAATACTAATGACCCAAAGTGGATAACAAAGAATTTGAAGAACCTTATGGGTAAAAAGAGAGCTTGGTACAAAAGGATTAAAAATGGGGAGGTCACTTTAGAACAGCAATTCGTACAACTGGTTAGAAATGTTAAAAAAGAGATAAGGAAAGCAAAAAGAAACTATGAAGTTCGCAGGGCAGGGCAAGCAAAGACAAATCCTAAAGGGTTTTTTCAGTTATATAGTACTAAGACTAGGGAAAGGATAGGTCCATTAAAAACTGAGACAGGTCAAATAACAGATAGTGATGAAGAGATGAGTAGTATTTTTAATAAATATTTTGTATCTGTATTTACTAAAGAGGAACTTAACAATATGCCTTCAGCAGAACAAGTCTATTTGGGTGGGGACGAGGACAGGTTGACGAGCTTAGCAGTTACCAGGGAGGATGTTCTTAAACAAATAGTAAAACTCAAACCAAACAAATCCCCAGGGCCGGATGAAGTGTTTGCCAGGGTGCTTAAAGAATGCAAAGAGGAGCTTTGTGACCCACTGTCAACCATATTTAATAAATCAGTAGAGTCAGGCAGAGTGCCAGAGTTTTGGAAAGTTGCTAATGTGATACCAGTTTTTAAGAAAGGAGATAGATCACTTGCGTCAAACTATCTACCAATTAGCCTTACGTCTATTGTGGGAAAGTTACTCGAATCTATAATAGCAAATAAAATTTGTCTTCATCTTGAAAAACATAAATTAATAATTGAGTCGCAACATGGTTTTATAAATGGTCATTCATGTTTAACAAATTTGTTATATTTTTATTCTAGCATTGTTGAGGCAGTTGATAGTGGTAAGGATTGCGATGCTGTGTACCTTGACTTTAGCAAAGCTTTTGATACAGTGCCACATGAAAGACTGATTAAAAAGATAAATTTGTAATAAATTTGAATGAATTTGTAATATTCTTGCATCTTGGGTTTTGTCTAGTATACAGGTATTTTTGTTCAACATTTCTCTAGTTAAGGTGATGTCATGGGCTTGTCTCATGTGACTCCTGGGGTCACTGGATTGAAGATGACATGTCAAACGCCTCGTCAGCTTGGTCGACGTCATACCTATGTACTTAGATTGAAGGTTACATCCTTCATTGAAGGTTACATCCTTCGTGGGGGCAAGTGTACATGTATACAACGCTTGACTGCTGTAGAGGGTTCTCCGTAGGCTTTGGGCTGTTTTTGAAAAGGAGTTCGGAAGTATTCTTGGTTTTGTAGAATATGATCTGGTCTATGTTTTGGTTAGGAGTAATGCTTTTTCTCCTTTACGGATTATTTCTTTCAGTATTCTTTCCTCTTTCTTATGTTCACTGTGCATGGTTGATTTGTAATTTAATTTTATTGGAGGTATTTTGGTTTCTGTTTTAGGTTCCGGATTATGCCATCGGTCCAAGTGTCTTCTTGGAGAGAGAGAGAGAGACTAAAATATACAGAAATTTTAGTTGTTAATTATTCAGTAAAATATCAAATTTTTATCATTCCAAATTTATCGACACATACGACATCCAACTACGACACGTGTTTACTGAAAAAAAAGATGTTAAGGTGGAAAAAATATATTAAATTTTGTAAATAAATTTTATTTTTATTATTTTTATAAAGAATATACAAAGCATGATTTATCTATCATAAATACAAATATACAAAGATTATTATTTCACTTGAGTTAACTTGCATGCACCATTCTGTGTCTCCTCATATCTCCATGTTTAATGAATATTTTACCACATACTGGATACTCATAAGGGTTCTCACCCATATGCTCAGCTATGTTTTATTATACTACGGCAGTAAATAAAATTGCATTGGTTACACTTGAAAGGTTTTTCACCTTTCATCAACCATTGTGTTTCTTCATATATCTAGGATGTCTGACTCTTTCACCATAATGACATAATCTTTTCATTCTGATAGATTTTTGCCGTATGCACGCGCATATGTTTTATTATAGTACTGCATTCAATTAAATGGTCACACTTGAAAGGTTTTTAACTGTATGCACCATTTTATGTTTTTTCATATTTCCTAGACGGTTGAATCTTTTTCCACACTCTGTACACTTGTAAGGTGTTTCACCTGAATGTACAATCTTGTGACTCTTCAAAGTTTTTTGAAGACTTAATTTTTTCCCACACTCTAAACACTCGTAAAGTTTTTCACCTGAATGTACCATCTGGTGACTCTTTAAATATCTCTGACGACTGAATTTTTTCCCACACTCTAGACACTCGTAAGGTTTTTCACCTGAATGAACCATCTGGTGACTCTTCAGAGTTCCTTGTTGACGGAATTTTGTCCCACACTCTAGACACTCGTAAGGTTTTTCACCAGAATGTATCATCAGGTGGTTCTTCAAACTTTTTTGATGACAGAATTTTTTCCCACACTCCAGACACCCATAAGGTTTTTCACCTGAATGTACCATTTTGTGACTCTTCAGAGTTCCTTGTTGACTGAATCTTGCCCCACATTCTGGACACTCGTAAGGTTTCTCGCCAGTATGCACGTGCATATGTTTTATTATAGTACTGCGGTCAAAGAAATTTTTGGAACAATGGTCACACTTGAAAGGTTTTTTACCTTTCAAAGGTTTGCATAATCCTGTGATTTTTTTCATGTATCCAAGATTGTTTAAATTTTTCCAAAGATTCAATGGACACGGACACTCGTGTGGTTTTTCTAGACACTCGTAAGGTTTTTCACCTGAATGAACCATCTGGTGACTCTTCAGAGTTCCTTGTTGACGGAATTTTGTCCCACACTCTAGACACTCGTAAGGTTTTTCACCAGAATGTATCATCAGGTGGTTCTTCAAACTTTTTTGATGACAGAATTTTTTCCCACACTCCAGACACCCATAAGGTTTTTCACCTGAATGTACCATTTTGTGACTCTTCAGAGTTCCTTGTTGACTGAATCTTGCCCCACATTCTGGACACTCGTAAGGTTTCTCGCCAGTATGCACGCGCATATGTTTTATTATAGTACTGCGGTCAAAGAAATTTTTGGAACAATGGTCACACTTGAAAGGTTTTTTACCTTTCAAAGGTTTGCATAATCCTGTGATTTTTTTCATGTATCCAAGATTGTTTAAATTTTCTCGTTTCCTTAAAAGTGATCCTTCAATTTTGACCAATGTTCAAATATTTGATCCACAGCTGGTTGAGCATACAGCCGCCTCGTTTTATAGTTAGCAGGACAGGTCACCATCACTAAGAGATTCATAACTTTTTATAGTCAACTTGTCTAACAGAGAAGTGAGAGACCCACGTATGGGTCTGCAACGACAACTTCCAAATTTCAAGGTAGACGTTGAGAAGATGTGTGAGGAACTGCCAGCTGTCTGGAGTGGCAACACATCTTATTAAAATGAGTGATGAATCTTCCTCTTTTAATCTTGTATAAATTCCAGTATTAATTCCAAAACATAACACTCGTATTATCTGTTCCTTTTCAAACAAGGTTCTTAAGCTCATCTTCTATTCGATTAGAGAAATTTAATTCACTCTACAATACTCTCGGCTTCAAATTGTTTAAGTAGAATCAGTCCAAGATATGTCGACACAACTTTATTTTGATTTTTACTTTAGTAAATAATGTATATACTTATTACCTTTAGAATTAAATATCATTAAACTCACCTAACAACAAACTGTACTGACTTTTACTTAAATGATAATTCCAATCCTACTCAAAATGGCTACCAAACATTTATTTATGATATTGCTGCATTTTGTGCGATGGATCTTAAAATTTGACCCCATTTTACTGCCATCAATATTGTTCTTTCACAGATCAAGTAGATGGTTACAGTTCCTAAGAGCAGAGTGACAACATAAGTGAAAACAGCTCCTTTGATCTTAGATCATTTATGTTTCTCAGGTGTAAACATTGAAGTATGTGAATAGATATTTATGAAACTTACAATGATACACTGAACGTGATTTTTCAAATCCTGATATTTTTCTTTTAACTGTTTTGCAGTACTTAAATTGTGCTCATCAAGCAACTATTATCCATTCCTTGAAGTTGATCCTATAACCACTCCTCCCTGAATTTTTTATCATACTGTTTAACTTTTGGCATTTTTTGAAAAGGGTTATAAACTATGAATGTTAATAATATCCAGCACAATAAACTATGTCAACAAAGCATTATTATTAGTTCATATAAAAACGCTCTCACTATATATGTCATTAATGAAAACCCCTCACTGTTGAACAGACGCTACTGAGTCACCGGATCTGCCGACTGTGCTAGTCTTGTGTACTGTGTCTGTGCTAGTCGTGTGTACTGTGTCTGTGCTAGTCTTGTGTACTGTGTCTGTGCTAGTCGTGAGTACTGTTTCTGTGCTAGTCTTGTGTACTGTGTCTGTGCCAGTCGTGAGTACTGTGTCTGTGCCAGTCGTGCGTATTGTGTCTGTGCCAGTCGTGTGTACTGTGTCTGTGCCAGTCGTGTGTACTGTGTCTGTGCCAGTCGTGTGTACTGTGTCTGTGCCAGTCGTGTGTACTGTGCCTGTGCCAGTCGTGTGTACTGTGTCTGTGCCAGTCGTGTGTACTGTGTCTGTGCCAGTCGTGTGTACTGTGTCTGTGCCAGTCGTGTGTACTGTGTCTGTGCCAGTCGTGAGTACTGTGTCTGTGCCAGTCGTGAGTACTGTGTCTGTGCCAGTCGTGAGTACTGTGTCTGTGCCAGTCGTGAGTACTGTGTCTGTGCCAGTCGTGAGTACTAGTAGTAGGATTGATGACTACGTCCGGCATTTTTCATTTTTTCCAATGCCGGTCGTAGCTTCAGGGGTTTTTGATAGCTACGACCGGCATTTTTCATTTTTTCCAATGCCGGTCGTAGCTTCATGGGTTTTTGATTGCTACGACCGGCCTTTTTCATTTTTCCAAAGCCGGTCGTAGCTTCAGGGGTTTTTCCTGTTTTTTTCCTATGTCGGTCGTAGCTTCAGGGGTTTTTCTGAATTTTTTTGTTCCTACGCCGGTCGTAGCATCATAGTTTTTTGTTCCTATGCCTGTCGTAGCATCATAGTTTTTTGTTCCTATGCCGGTCGTAGCATCATAGTTTTTTGTTCCTATGCCGGTCGTAGCATCATAGTTTTTTGTTCCTATGCCGGTCGTAGCATCATAGTTTTTTGTTCCTATGCCGGTCGTAGCATCATAGTTTTTTGTTCCTATGCCGGTCGTAGCATCATGGGTTTTCTCAATTCAACTTGCCTAGGGATTAAAAAGCCGGTCCCTGGCATCCCCAAATTTCGTTGGCTCAGTTACCCTGCACAGACATTGCTAATGGTCAATGACGTCACCAGCTAGCCGCTCAGCATTCCTGCACCGGCATGTTCGAGGGGATTAAAGCCGGTCGTAGCATCTGGGGTTTTTCCTGTTTTTTCCCTATGTCGGTCGTAGCATCATGGGTTTTTGTGAATTTTTTGTTCCTATGCCGGTCGTAGCATCATAGTTTTTTGTTCCTAGGGATTAAAAAGCCGGTCCCTGGCATCCCCAAATTTCGTTGGCTCAGTGACCCTGCACAGACATTGCTAATGGTCAATGACGTCACCAGGTAGCCGCTCAGCGTTCCTGCACCGGCATGTTCGAGGGGATTAAAAAGCCGGTCTATGAGTCTTGTGTTTTGCGATACAACAGTAACCTTGAAACCTAATATAAAATACCATCATCCCTAGTCTATTTTTAATTTCATATTTACTTCCAACCATCACCCATTACATTTATCAAAGGGGATCATGTATGTGAGGAAAGAACATAACTTCAGCACTGCAAGAAGTTATGTGTGTATTTTCAAGTTCGTCCCCTGCTGCCTGTATTTACCCAGGTCTTTTTCCTAAATATAAAACTTATCCAATTCATTCCTATTCTGTTTCATGTTGATACGTATAATAGGCTATTAATATTCCCCTTTAGTATGACCATTCAGTCACACCTCTATCATGTCACCCCTATTTCTTCTTCGTCGTCGTTCTAGAGAATGTAATTTGAGCTTTGACAATCTTTCTTGAAGGATCGTTTATTATGCATAGGGAAAAAAAATTAAACTGCTATCAGTCGTATATATGAAAAAACAGAGCCCTGGACATTGGTGATTTCAATGCGAGTTCAGTAGTGACCCTATCCTTATGCACATCTCACATTCGCCCAAAAACATACCTCCCACACCATACTGTAGCATTTAACAAATAAAATAAAAAAAAAACTCATTCAGTAAAAGCAAGCCTCTCATATTTTGAAATAAGGCCTTCTGCAGTTACCGCCTTTTGTGACGTCATCATCCCTAATGTGGCACGAGGCGTCAACGGGCTAAATGCGGATCCCAGGAGGTTCACACATAAGTGTGAACTCTTAATCTAGCTTAATACCTCACCTATACTCTGTGCTTCATCAGAGTTGATATTCAGCTACAATAGCTCGTATTTTCGCTCATTGCTTATATTTTCTGTTATTCATAAACCCGATCAAACCTTCCTAACCTAACCTAACCTAACATATTATTTATAACAAATACATTCTACAGACCAGTTATTGTTGTTGTTTAGTGACATCGTGAAAAAGCGACCTCAGGTATATGGATAAGGTATTGATGGTCATTAGCATATAGGTGTGAAGGTATTACAGTACCTTACTGGTCAACTATGTATGACGTCACCAGACAACCAATGCGACCTTTGGCGTCCTACTGGCATGAGTATTTGATGTTATTATTAAAAAATGACTAGACTATCCATCCCCACCTAACCTAATCAGAGGTTTAAGAACATACATTTTAGTCATCCGCAACTGTAATCATTCATTATGCAGTAATAAGTTGAAAACTATAATAGCTACCCAATGTCGTACCGCAATTTGAGCATCATGATAGGTAAGTTGACCTGGTTTAAGAATATACATTTTAATTATCCACAACTGTAATTATTATTCGGTGATAAGTGCAAAAGTATAACAGCAACCCAAATGTTGTACCGCAATTTTTTGTAGAATCGTACGTCTGGCAGCATAGCAGGTGAGCTGAACATAAGAATAAAGGTAACTGCAAAAGTCCTATTGACCCATACGAGGCAGCTCCTATATATTTCCACCCAATCTCATTCATATTCATGTCCACCCTATGCTTAAAGCAACCAAGGGAACCCACTTAAAGTATTAGTGTACAATAATAGTTTTAATAAATAGCTGTCATTCTAGTTTTATACATAACAGCAATTATGAAACCCTATAGCTAGATATTCTACTATAATCCACAAGTAGCCACCACACATCTGGCAGCACAGCGGATTAGTAGCCGTGTTCATAGGCTAGTCAACTGTCCTCACATCCATCAAATAGCTATCCAAATGTCGCACCTCAATTCATCCATCTAGCAACTCAGCTGGATGCTAGCCACTATATTCATAAGCTAATCATTTCTACACCTCGAAAATAAAAAATCCTAGTTTTGCTACACAAATCAGCTAACTTGTTTCTAAACCAACAGTCGCAAATACAATCATATATACCTACACATACTTCACATTATATATTCATAGAGAATAGCCTAATTTTTTACCACCATTTCCCCATTAATCAGATGTAATTTATGCCATACACAGAAAATACAGCATTTACACACCAAATATGCCATTTATGCACAAAATATATTATTTACACTCAAAATATACCATCACACAAAATATGTCATTTATAGACAAAAATATGACATTTACATACAAAAGATGCCAGTTGCACCCAAAATATGCCATTTACACAATATTGCATGTACACTCAGATTATAACATTTACAGAAAGTATGATATTTGTACAAATATATCAAAATGTTTATGCATTTAGACAATCAAAAATGCGCTTTCACTAAAATTACACAATTCCACAAACATAATTTTCACAAAATACTCATACATTGTCTCATAAACCAAAATACACTTACACCATGGAGATCTATTTTATCAGATTACAGAGCTTACACAAAATACACAATTTTCACACACAAATACAGTTGCACCAGTTCCACTTCAACAAATTAAAAACACAACTTTATAATATTTGTACAAATATATCAAAATGTTTATGC